GCAGGGCCCCGGTGCAGTGCAGCTGCTTGACGCGCTCCAGCACGCAGTCGCCCACCACCTCGCCCAGGAAGTTGTCCAGGTAGCAGAAGCCCACCTCGTGCAGACAGGGCACGATGTACTCCAGCGCGATTTTCTCCAGATCCAGCCTCATGATGTGTCCCAGGGGCATCTCGCCCGCACAGTCGAGGTCCGGGACCCCCAGCGTGCACCCAGAGAGGGAGCAGGATCTACACGAGCGCGAAGCCGACGCGCGGGGAGCGTGGCCCGGGGTTCAGCAACCAGAGCCTGCCACGGTCCCCGAGCCGCTGCAGCGCCAGGGACAGGGGAAAGTTGCTCGGAACTCTCGGGAGAAGGGATCTGCGTTCGGGAACCAGCAGGAGTGGTGCGGGGCTCCACGACCCAGCGCCGGACTCGCCCGGCGAGCAGGGTGGCGCAATGAGTCGGAGGACGCCTTTAGGAGATGAGAAGTCACCACCGCAGCGACTGTGGCCAGACTCCGGGAGAGGCAGAGGTCTGGCCTTTAAACCGGCTAACTCCGCGCGTCACGGGCCCCGCCCCAGCCCCGCCCTTTCCCCGCCTCGGGTCCGCCCTTCCTCCCAGCCCATCATCCCCGCCTGCTCTGGCCCCTCCGCGAAGGATCCCGGAGAGTCCGGCGCCAACCTTAGTTGTTTGTGACCAGGGGAGCAGCTGGAGAACAAACTGAATTTTTAGAATGCGCTGGATTTGCATATTGTTTTGCGTAAAATCACATAACAAACTTGAAAACCTAGATCTCACATTGAAAATGTAAATGGAGTTAACTGCAACATCTCATAGACTTTTGAGCAAAATTATAACCCCAAGAAGCTGGGAGCGGTGGCTCACGCCTGTAATCCCAGCACTTTGGGAGGCTGAGCTGAGCGGATCACCTGAGGTCGAGAGCTCAAGACCAACCTGACCAACATGGAGAAACCCCGTCTCCACTAAAAACACAAAAATTGGACGGGCGTGGTGGCACATGCCTGTAATCCCAGCTAATGGGGAGGCTGAGGCAGGAAAATCGCTTGAACCTGGGAGGCAGAGGTTACAGTGAACTGAGATTGCACCATAGCACTCCAGCCTGGGCAGCAAGACCGAGACTCCATTTCAAAAAAAAAAAAAAAAAAAGAAAGAAAAAACCTAAGAATAAATATATTTATTAAGCAGTGGTCTTAGTGGTCTTGTTCTATCTTTACCTAGTGTCTTTTCTTATTTACCCCATTCCTCTGCTGTTTGACCCAGTTCAAGCCACTGAGAGATCAGGAGGTATCTAGTTTTAACTAAAATTAACGCATTAACAAATTTTCCCTCAGCCCCACTGTGTGCAAAGCACTATGTGCTTGAGGAGAGGCGGATGAGCACAATGAAGAAATGCTGAGTCATCTCTGATTGAACTCTGCAAATGGTGTATTTTGCTTTGCTTGATGTTTTCATCCACTTATCTATCAAGCTTCCTATTAAAATACGATGTTCTGAAATTTTACCTCCAATATTAATCACATACTTCTGTAACAGTCAGAGGTATGTCCCCAAAAGATACACTGTATTCTGGGTCTCTCACTTTTCCCACAAGCAGCTGTACTTTCACAAGAGGGACAGACACCACAGAGAAGGCTTTTTGGTTATCCACAGATAAGGTGATTTGCTCTATGGAGTTTTGATTCCCTTTCCTACTGAAAACTAGCAATCAGAATCGGGGAAAAAAAGATTCATACATTGCATACAAAGCTATTTGCACCTTTTTAACTTCATATTAGTGTACACTTGGGTTCCTCATTTGAGTTGAAAAAAAGAATGTAGAGATTTTTCAGGTATTGTTTATTTAGGGCACAATCTCGTACAGCTTTTTCACTTTTCTTCTTCCTCTAACAGCCCTCTCCTCTCTGCCTCTGAGGTGAGAAAAGGAGTGACATCCAGGACAAGAACTAGGAGTAGAGAGGTGCTGCTACAGGTTGGAAAGAAGTAGACAGAGGCACGTGGTTGAGTATGAACCTGGGGGATGTTGAGGGGGAGCAGTCAGTGGTGGAGTGTTTAAGAAACTTTGGTGAAGGTGGAGGGGGCGGGGAAAAAAATTTTGATGAAACTTCTAGTTATATTGAGAGAGATTCTCTGCGAAGTCAGTGATTAGTTGGCACCTCTGGTATTACCTTTGAGCAGGAGGTACCCCTCCTTGGGGTAAAGGCTTGAATGGGCCTTCAGTGCTCAAGGAGCTGTTGTCCAATTCCCAAAGCAGCTCCATGATAAGAGGAGACCATCATCCTTGGAACCCCAGTGCTTAACATATAGTTGATGCCTAATAAATAGTTACTGGGAACTCAATGTCTGACCCTGAGCCACGGCAACCTCCACTCAGATTCAGTATGTCTGGGTTTATCTGGAAGGATCTATTAGCAAGATGGGCTGCGGAGCCTCGGCAAAGAGAAGTCACTGGAAAAGAGTCAGGCACGTTAGCCTGACCCAGCACAAAACCTTAGAGGACAGTGGAGGGAGCAGTCAGGAGTTCTGCAGGGTGTTTATCTCTGGGCTTCGTCTCTATCTGAGCAGTGAATGTTTGCTGGGAAATAGAGACGTAAAGTGGAACCTGGAGGACTGTTCAGTTGCAGCAAGGAATGAAACGGAGTGCAATACCAAAAAGGACGAAAGCCCTCCTCTCCACTTCTGCCTGAACCCTGCACAGAAGGAACTGCTTTGGCTCCTGCAGTGACCTCCTCCGAGGGCGCTATGGATAATGGGGTGACCAGGAGAAACCTAGTCAGCAGCCTGAGTGTGGACCCTGGGTGGCATTGTGTTGTGCATTTCACAGCTTTGAGGATTGTGTAAACTTCAGTAGATATCCCTGAAAAGGGACAGAATCAAAAAGGAGGAAGGTGACAGATAATCCTTAGTAACTGGCTGAAATTTTTCTAGCTGAAGGTTTTTTGTAAATACACCTTATATTCCTAGGAATGATGAGGAGGGAATTTACAAAGGAATGGAAACCTGTAATCGCTGGTGGGGTGTGGAGGTCAGTAAAATACAGAAAATGGTATACTCACCTTCCAGAATGGACATGTTGACCTAAGACTTCAAATCCCAGGACTGGGTAAATTTAGTTTTCTATTCAAATAATATTTAAATACTTTCAGAGTAAAATTGTAACTAGATATAACTAGAGCAATAGTCTGAGTTCTAGTGACAACGTTCTAGATTACACTGGTTGTAAAGCATGGGCAGTTTAGAGAGGAATTCAATCCCTTGGTGCCATCCCCGCTTGGCAAGGGCACTCATTAATCAATCAAGGACCTCTCAATCAGCTCAGGGCTGCCAGCACGGTATTTGGCAGAGGAATCAGAGATACTATGACTGGAAAAATCAGAGTGTGTGATTGCACGGAGGGACACAGACAGACTGGAGCCAGGCACAGGCTCTGGGTCTGAGCATCAGAGCGGGAAAACCCAGGCTAATTGTTAAAGTGCATTTGCTTTAGTTATTTGTCCACTAATTTGTGTCACAATAATGAATATTAAAATACCGTTCCATAATAACTAAAACAAATTAATTTCCCTGTAATTTAATTACAGCAACATTGTCTTCCGGTGTGCATCTGCAGTACAGATGCAGTCATTTCCAAGCATGTGGAGGAAGAGCAGAGAAAGAAAAACGTTGTTTCCCTACCTTTGAATTTGAACTGGAAGGAATCTTACTGGTCACCCAGTTCACCTTCATTCTCCTACAGATGAGGAAACCAAAAAGTCTCAGTTGAGTGGAAAAGAAGCTTCTGCCTTCTCACCTGTAACACTGTCCTATTTATGTATATAGTTTTCTTTTAATGAGGTAAAATTCACAAAGTGTAAAATTAACCATTTTATAATGAACAATTCAGTGGCATTTAGTACAGTCACAGTGTTATACAACCACCACCTCTCTGGTTCCAAAATGTTTTCACCACCCCAAAAGCAAACTGTACCTATTAAGCAGTTATTCCCCATTGCCCCCTCTCCCAAGCCCCTAGCAACCACCAATCTGCTTTCTCTGTGGATTCACTCATTCTAGATATTTCCTAATAATGGAATCATATACTCTGACTTTTCATGACTGACTTCTTTCACTTACCATGATGTTTTGTACCATTTACCAGTACTGCATTTCTTTTTATGGCTGAACGATAATTCCATTGTGTAGATATACCACAATTTGTTTATCCACTCATCCACTGATGGATATTTGGGTTATTTCCCACTTTTTGGCTATTATAATAGTGCTGTTATAAACAGGCATGCATAAGTAATTTGAGTACCTGTTCTCCATTCTTTGGGGGAATATACCTAAGAGTACAATTTTGGGGACATATGGTAAATCTATAACATTTTACTTTTGAGATGGAGTTTTGCTCTTGTCGCCCAGGCTGAAGTGCAATGGCGCAATCTCACTGCAACCTCTGCCTCCCGGATTCAAGCACTTCTCCTGCCTCAGCCTCTCAAGTAGCTGGCATTACAGGTGCCTGCAACCATGCCCAGCTGATTTTTGTATTTTTAGTAAAGACAGGGTTTCATCATATTGGCTAGGCTGGTCTCAAACTCCTGACCTCAAGTGATCAGCCCACCGTGGCCTTTCAAAGTGCTGGGATTATAGGTGTGAGCTACCGCACCCAGCCTATGTTTAACTTTTTAGGAACCACTAAACTGTTTTCCACAATAGCTGTACCATTTTACATTCCCAACAGAAATATGAGAGGGTTCCATCATGTCTTTTTTAATTTCTGATGAAAACTGTCTACATATCTTCTTTTTTTAAAAAAAAAAGTTCAGCTTTTTGGCCAGGCGTGGTGGCTCACACCTGTAATCCCAGCACTTTGGGAGGCTGAGGTGGGCTGATCACTCGAAGTCAGGAGTTCAAGACCAGCCCGGCCAACATGGTGAAACCCCATGTTTAAAAAATAATAATTTTTAAAAAAAGAAAAAAAATAGAGTTCAGCTTTTTATTGAACACATCATAAAAAAGGTTTAGTCAAAAAGACTAAAGCCCATGTTATCATCAGACTCCTCGGATTCTTCTTTCTTTGCTTCCCCTTTCTTCTCCGCAGCTGGAGCAGCAGCAGTGGAGGGGGCAGGACCTCCTGTGGATGCAGCACCAGCTGCTGGAGCAGGTCCACCAGCCCCCACATTGCAGATGAGGCTCCCAATGTTGATGTGTGCCAGGGCCTTTGCAAACAAGCCAGGCCAGAAAGGTTCAACATTTACACTGGCTGCTTTAATGAGGGCTTTGATCTTATCCTCTGTGATGGTCACCTCATCACTGTGCAGAATGAGGGCTAAGTCGATGCAGGCGAGCACTGAGATGGAGGCCATGGTGCGGGCAAGTGTGGGGCTGATGCTGCCAGATATGGTGCCAGTCACAGGATAAAGTGAGGGCCTCACCCCAATGTAGCCTTTGCTTCCTCGGGAGGACCAAGCGTGTTAGTGGCAGCTGAGGAAAGGGGTCTGCATATCTTTTTATCCATCAGAGTACTGCCAGAGGTTCCCTTCCTCCTAGCTGTACCTACATATTTGTTTGTGTGTTTTTGCCATACTATATTATCAGAAGCTGTGTCATTATTTTGCATGACTTCAATGTGAGCAAAGGGAATCTTATCTATTGATGAATCAAACATTTTTGCAACACTTGGTATTGTGCTAAAAGTTTACGAACATTACTTCAATTAATTCTTATAACACCACCAAGAATAGGTACTATTATTCTTCTCCATTGTGAAGATGACAAAGAGGCTAAGGAACTTGCCCAAGGTCACTCTGAAAGAGTATACCAATGTAGGGCCAGCACGATGGCTCACGCCTGTAATCCCAGCATTCTGGGAGGCCAAGGCAGGTAGATCAGGAGTTCAAGACCAGACTAGCCAACATGGTAAAACCCCATCTCTACTGAAAATATAAATACTCGCTGGGCATGGTGGTGGGCTCCTGTAATCCCAGCTACTCAGGAGGCCGAAGCAGGGAATTGCTTGAAGCCAGGAGGCAAAGGTTGCAGTGAGCCAAGTTCACACCACTGCACTACATCCTGGGCAACAGAGCAAGACTCCATCTCAAAAACAAACAACAAACAAACAAACAAAAAGCAAACCATGTAGGACAAAATTTGAGAGATTCCAATGCAGTAACATGGGGTGTGGAGGGAGAATGATTCTGAGCCACATGTCTGGCATAGAAATGAAATGTTTCTGCCCTGAAGTACTCTTTTTCTTGTTATAACTCTAGTTGTAACACCACCTGTAATGACTATTTTAATTATTGGTTTCTTTACTGATATTTGGTGCAGAAGGGAGATAAGCAAAATGTCCCATAAATTATTTAGTATACTACACTAAGAGTCATTTTCCAAACTACAAATTAGGTTTTGCCCCTTGTTGCATTCCACTTATGGCCCAGGATTTCCAGGAATCAACAGAAATTCAGTGATGCACAGGTATGCTGAGAACAGTTGATAATGAGCTGTCCCTCTGTGTGCTGGAGTGTGTGGTCTACCCCTCAGGATGCAGGAGTGAATTTATTTTAGTGGAGCCGATGAAATAAGAAGAAAGTGCCTGAAATACATTTCTGGTCTGGAGCTCACTGGTATAAAGTGGGTTTAGAGAAGGAAGGATCTGATGATGTTCCTCTCTGAGGAACATCCTACCCCTTCCAGGTCAAAGAGGCTGGCAAAGAAAGTTCCTTTCTCTGTCAGTCCTTGTTTCTCAGCACGGAGACGATTTCCGCCTCTCTCATCTGCTCTTTGATCATCTGGCCGTGTGCAGATTCTGGAAAGTGTGACATTATTAGGAATGTTCATTAATACCTTCCAACTCAGCTCTCATTTAAGCTGAAAATATCTAAAAAGCCTTTGCATGTCTCATACAAATAGCATCAAATTGTGTCTTTGTACAGCATTCATTGTATCTTTTTTAGAGTAAACTTCTTATTTTAGAATACTTTTAGACTTACAGGCAGGTTGGGAAGGTCTACACGCAGAGTGCCTGTAAGCCCCACACCCAGTTTCCCCTTTGTTACCGTCTGGCTTAAGCATAGTACATGTGTCATAATTTATGAATTAATACTGATACATTATTAACTAAAGTCATGATTTTGTTCAGATTTCTTTGTTTTTACCTAATGGCCTTTTTCTTTTCCTGGATCCTGTTGAAGTTTGCAGAGGTAGAAATACGTTTGTAGGTTTTTAGGGAAGTATATACCAAGTCAGTCTTCTTAGCCTTTAGCCCTGCAGAAACTATCCCCAGATCCCCAGTGTGGAAATGAATGGTTGCTTCCAGAATATGCTTTCTTCCCTTCCTAACAGTTCATATCAGTGGTTGAGGGTCAGTGGCACCATTGCTATGAGGCCCTCTGTCTATAGCCAGGGGTCTCTGGGGTTCAGGTAGCGATCCCACCCTTTCTGCTCCTGGCCTGGAAGAGGTAGGCAGTGCTAGGCTCCACTGGCCCTGGACTTCCCAGTTCTGACAGACCGCTCTGCTTTTCTTCATATATTTACCTTCTCCCTCCCTCCAGAGAAAGAGCCTGATTGCTCTAAGGCAGTGGGTCTCAAACTCTAGTAGCTATTAGAATCACCTGGCCAGCTTGTTAAAACACAAATTGCTAAACCTTACCCCTAGAGTTTCTGATTCAGTAGGTCTGGGATGGGGCCTGATAATTTGCATTTCCAATAGTTCCCAGGAGCTGCTTCTACCGGTCTGAGACCACATTTTGAGAACCACCATTCCAAGCCAGTCAGTTTATGGCATTACCCTGGTAACTGTTAGTGGTCTAAGGGTGGGTGGGTGACCTGCACTGGCTAAATCTGTGGTTAAAAACTCTGGTTGTACCCTAGAATCACTTGGGAGCTTCTGAAAAATGACTCACAGCTGGGCCCCACCTTAGTTTAATAAATCAATATTTTAGAAGATAAAGCCTTAGGTATCTGCAGTTTAAAAAGAAAAAATAAGGCCGGGCATGGTGGCTCATGCCTGTAATCCCAGCACTTTGGGACGCCGAGGCGGGTGGATCACATGGTCAAGAGATCGAGACCATCCTGGTCAACATGGTGAAACCCCGTCTCTACTAAAAATACAAAAAATTAGCTGGGCATGGTGGCACGTGCCTGTAAACCCAGCTACTCAGGAGGCTGAGGCAGGAGAATTGCTTGAACCCAGGAGGCGGAGGTTGCGGTGAGCCGAGATCGTGCCATTGCACTCCAACCTGGGTAACAAGAGCAAAACTCGGTCTCAAAAAAAAAAAGAAAAAAGAAATAATGCTACGTACTACAAAATAAAAATAAAATAATAGCAATAAGGCTGGGTGCAGTGGCTCATGCCTGTGGCACTTTGGGAGGCTGAGATGGGTGGATCACAAGGTCAGGAGTTCAAAACAAGCCTGGCCAATATGGTGAAACCCTGTCTCTACTAAAAATACAAAAAAATTACCCGGGTGTGGTGGTAGGCACCTTAGTCCCAGCTACTCAGGAGGCTGAGGCAGGAGAATTGCTTGAACCTGGGAGGCCAAGGTTGCAATGAGCCAAGATCATGCCACTGCACTCCAGCCTGGCAATAGAGTGAGACTGCGTCTCAAAAAAAAAAAAAAGCAATAAACAAATACAGTCATGCATTACCTACCAAAGGGCATACATTTGGAGAAATGCATCATTAAGGAATTTCCTTGTTCAGAACATGATAGAGTGCACTTACACAAACCTAGATGGCAAAGCCTACTATTCCCCAGGCTCTACGGTGTGCCCTATTGCTCCTGGACTACAAACCTGTACAGCATGCTCCTCTACTTAATACTGTAGGCAGCTGTGACACAATGGTATTTGCATATCTAAACAGAGAAAAGGTGCAGTAACAATACTGTATTAAAATCACATGGGAACACCATCCTATATGTGGTTTGTCGTTGACCAAAATGTCATTATGCAGAGGCTGACTGTAATGAATACAGCTACAGCACTTTGGTGACTTCAATGTGCAACAGTACTGGGAACCACTGGCCTGCTTGAACTGAAGAGAAATTATATTAAAAGGAGAGGTCTCTTTCATCCTCTTTGCTGCTGCACATGAAAAACGACACAGGCAGCCCAGTGGTCTCTGGCAGCTGTCACATCCCTGTGAAGGGAGCCAGTCTCAGGAAGAAGAAGGCAGAGCAGAGTACTGAAAGAACTTGGGACCTTGGTGACATCACTGAGCTGCCTATCTTACTGTCCCTGGAGCCTATCCTACCTCTGCACTTCTAGTTATGTGAGATAATACATACCCTTATTTGTAAAGCCAAATTAAGTCATGGTTTTCAGTTACTAGCAGCCAAAAGCATTCTAACAGATAACACCAAAGAAATCTGTGGTCACCCCATAGCCATAATAAACAGTCCTACCCTTAAAGACACTTTGCCTGCGTATCTTGCGTTCTGTGCATTCCAGAGGACCAGCTTGCCCATCAGAAGTCTGACTCCATGGAAACCAGACGGGCAACGGGGTGGCTCTCATGCAGTCTGTATCTGTGGCTCCTCTCCACTTCTAGCCTGCTCATTTCCAGCTCAGAAATTCTACTAATGGCGTTTTTTTCTTCCTCAGAAAGGAAATGAACAGGATAAGACTTGGCATTTTACCTTATAGTTAAAATAAATAGTTTTCTTTTTTGAATCTAAGTGAACAATCACATAATAGTCAAATTGGAGGTTACAATTGTATTATTCACAAATGGTTTCCTTAAATTGCAAATTTGTTTTCAGACAATTCCTTTCTTAATATTTATAACAGGAAAATGTTGGTTAGAACATAAATAACACTGGAAGCTAGTTGGAACAAAGTAAATGTCCAGCCAATGTTTTACTGTATAAATTTAGTATAATGGGTTAGAAAATGGAATATAAGGTAAGAGTCTGTGTGTGTGAGACACAGAGAGAGAAGTGCCAAGATGTTATTAATGATTGGTTTTGAGTAAGTGGGAATATGGACCTTCTTACGTTCTGTTGTTTGTGTTTTCTAATTTTTTTCTAATGGGCATATATTGCTTTTTTCTTTTTGAAATGGAGTTTCACCCTGTCACCCAGGCTGGAGTGCAATGGCACAACCTCAGCTTACTGCAACCTCTGCCTCCCAGGTTCGAACGATTCTCCTGCCTCAGCCTCCTGAGTAGCTGGAATTACAGGTGTGCACCACCATGCCCAGCTAATTCTTTGTATCTTTAGCAGAGGCAGGGTTTCACTGTGTTGGCCAGACTGGTCTTGAATTCCTGACCTTGTGATCCACCTGCCTCGGCCTCCCAAAGTGCTGGGATTACAGGAGTGAACCACTGCACCCGGCCACATATTGCTTTTGAAGAAAGAAAGAAAAAGGACTTTTTTAAGGCTATGGGATTGTTTTGCTACTTAAAAACAAATCTTTAATTCCTCCATGGGCTGGCCATCGGCTTGTTTGAGCTAAGTACCATTCCCAACATCCTGTGTACTGCTTGGATGGAGGTGGCTGAAATCCTGCGAACTACGTTTCCCAGATTCCCTTGCCAGCTGGCCTACTTAGATGCTTCCAGTGGGAAGCACTGGTGGGAAGCTGCATGAAATGAGAGAGA